TCCAGATATAGATAGGAAGCGAACGTCGTGAGATGGCGGGAAGTTCTTCAAAGGTATATGAAAAGCTGGAGAACTTTGTACCATCCATGCAAGTGTAGGCGAATTTGGCTCAACTGCCCAAGGCGCTTGCGGAGCGCGCACACTTCACGGGTTAAAGTGAGATAAACAACCACAAAAAAAAAAAAAAAAAAAACCTCCTACAACAGAAAGATAAGTAAGAACCAAAACTACTCACAGTGCATGCCATCCGCCGTAAGCGTCTGGATAATCCGGTAGTCGACAGATGGCATTCAAGATGCATTCACAAGTTTGCATTGCACAGGGCCTCACTCGCACTACTCTCCAAATCTGCAAAACGAGGCCCCAGCTTGCGCTAGAACATGCATGCAAAAGATACACTGCCATATTTTTTTGTCTTTTGTGCATGTGGAGAGTAGTGGACCGAGGCTCGCACTCAAGCCACCAGTCCATCAGATGTTATTGTTCATTCATATCGGTACACAAGTGCGCATGTAAAGAGTAGTGGAGCGAGGCTCGCACTCAAACCACCATGCTACATAAGCAGTTAACAGGGACCCCCACTTTTCAGCCCTGGTTAACCCCCTCAACCCCCATGTTATTGTTCATTCATTTCCGAAGGGACGAGTGCCGCCCCTCGGCCGTTTGGCCCCCCGGTGCCGGCAGAGAGACGGATGAAGAACGCTAACTTCAATCCCCAATATCTGTGTGGGCCCTGTGGGAGGCCCAGGCTTATCAGTAAAATAGACGCCGGTACTGGTACCGTGTTGATTTTCCCAACACCGCCAACGGAACAAACAGGCTTGGCCCAGTTGGTACACCCAAAAAACATGTTGAAATGCCGACCTGAGTTCCAGTCCAGATTAAAAAAAAAAAAAAAAAAAAAGGGGGTTCCAGTCCCAGATGGAACCACAAGATGAACTCAGAATTCCTGAATTACCTGGGGCCGGTCAGTTTCACGATGATATCTCAAGTCAAGGCTGTCGCCCTTTAGAAAGGAAAAAAAAAGACAAAAAGGAAGATGGATTTTTCCAACAGCCAGTACCGGTGACTCCTTTTTTTTTTTTTTTTTGAAGGCTCTCGGCAAATGCATTTTTTGGTTTGTAGATTTAGCTTTGATACACGTAACGGGGGGGTGTTGAAACAGGGTTCTGTCCTGCGGAAAGGCCCCCGTATCTGGCCTGAAATTGGACCAGATGCGACTACAACCGCCCCGCACCGTCTTTGGCAGAACTGGGGGCAGGCGTAATACCAGTAGTGTGTAATAAGTACTAATAACGATGTTTGGATAGCAGAGAAAATTATTTATAATAAATAAAGGGGCAACTATGTGGCGGTCACAAAAACAGTTTGAAATTGCACTTCAGGCATTCCCCCCCAAACATACCCCCCCCCCCTCATGACCGTACCAGACCAGAAAGGTAGCTTGTATACATTCGACATTTTCAGGCCGAATGCCCGACGTGCAATTTCAAGCTCTTGTTGTGATCGCCACATAGTTTTCCAATAAATAAATCGTTCAGGTAAGTACTCGTCAGCCATCATATACACATAGATTGCTTCTGAATCCTTCCCCCCCCCCCCCSCCAAAAAAAAAAAGAAGATTGCTTCCGAGCCCTTCAACAAAACCCCTTGCTTCCTAGGCTACCAGCCGGGCCGCCCGGGTCACCCTGTTTTCCCGGATGGTCCGGCCGTGCAAGGACCAGGGAAGGTTCTAGCAAAAAAAAAAAAAAAAAACCGAAAGAAAAAGTTAAAAAACTGAAACGGTTTTCACCTTTGCGGAAACAGATGCAGATCCCAGGGCTGTGTAGTTGTTGGGACTTGGGGTCTCGCCGCACGTCACACGAAACGAAAACGAAATGAGTGCATCTGCCCACGAAAGGTGGCAAAATACACTCGTTACTATTTATAGCAAACCGATGAACCTGGCCATTTTCTGCAGGAAGATGCACTCGTTTCGTTTTTCGTTTTGTGCCCCATGGGGCAACGCCCTTGAACTGTAGGTCTGTCGAGTAGAGGTCATAGCTGTGTAGGGGTCATAGTTGTTGCAACTCTGAAAGGTCGAGGTCGTAGCTGCTACAGTCCTGAAAGGCCAAGTCCACAGACTTCCGGAAGGTCCGGAACTGGCCTTTCGAGTGTAGCTCGCGTTAGACCAGACGGAAGTGGGCAAGTGGGTAGCCCAACTCTGCTTAGTCAGCGGTACCCAGTCCCAGTCTCACTTTGTCCAGTCAGCAAGTACCATGTGGGACCGTGTGCACCATGGGCCCGGTGGAAAGGGGCAGACCAGCGACCAACAGAAGTATAAATCAAGAGGCAGCGTCCAGCCATTCATTCATTCTGCATGAGCCATGCGGAAGCGCTGCCTAGGCGTCTTGTGCGAGGTGGTCTGCAGATGCCCGAAGTTGAAGTGGGCTACGAGGGAGATGGAGCAGCCACCGCTGCCTGTAGATAGTGGTAGAAGGCGGCCATAGCAGCCATAGCCAAGAGTTAGTTTCCAGCGTGTGTGTGTGTGTGTGTGTGTGTGTGTGTGTGTGTGTGTGTGTGTCTGTGTGTGTGTGTTTGTGTGTGTGTGTGTGTGTGTGTGTGTGTGTGTGTGTGTGTGTGTGTGTGTGTGTGTGTGTGTGTGTGTGTGTGTGTGTGT